ATAGCAGCAATGTTCACAATAGCCAAACTGTGAAAAGAGCCATGATATCCTTCGCAGATGAATGGATAAAGAAGATGTGATCTATATATACAATGGAATATTCTTCAGCCATCAGAAAGGACAAATACCCACCATTTGCTTTGGCATGGATAGAACTGGAGGGTATTATGCCAAGTGAAGTAAGTCAATCGGAGAAGACCAACCATCATATGGCTTCACTCATATGGGGAATATAAGAAATAGTGAAAGGGATTATAAGGGAAGGAGAGGAACTGAGTGGGAAAAATTAGAGAGGGAGACAAACCATGATAGACTCCTAACTCTGGGAAATTAACAAAGGGTTGTGGAAGGGGAGGTGGGTGGGGGGATGGGGGATGGGCACTGAGGAGGACACTCGATGGGATGAGCACTAAGTGTTAAACTATACGTTGGCAAATGGAACTTCAATAAAAACAAATGAAAAAAAAGGAAGGTAATATAGACTTTTAACAAATAAACTTGCTTTGGAGAAAAGCGAATTTTGTGTCTCAATTAATTCATTTCTCTTCACTAGGGTAAGAGCATTTTGTGTAGAAACCCAACCTTAACTGATAGGAGAAAAAAAATAATAAAGTCAGAGCTTCTGCACCGTTGCTGAAATGGAATGTAAAAAGTGAATTCCCCATTGCTAAAACATAAATGTGACTTACTTACTTAGTTTATGTATTTATTAAAGATTTATTTATTTATTTTAGAGAGAGAGTGAGAGAGCGAGCATGCATGTGCAAGTAAGAGGAAGGACAGGGGGAGAGGGAGAAAGAATCATGAAACAGACTCCCCACTGAGCATGGATCCTGCCGAGGTGCTCAAATCTAGGACCCTGAGATCATGTCATGAACAAAAATGAAAAGTTGGACCCTCAACTGGCTAAGCCACCCAAGTGCCCCTTTTATGTATTTTTTAAGTAATCTCTGTGCCCAATGTGGGGCTTGAACTCATGGCCCAGAGATCAAGTGTTCCATGCTCTGCTTGCCAGGCTGGCTCAGTTGATGGAACATGTGACTCTCGGTCTCAGGATTTTGAGTTTTAGATCCACATTGGAAGTAGAGATTACTTAAAAATAAAATCTTAAAAAAAAATCACTTGCCCCACTGAGACAGCCAGGTTCCCATGACATGAGAGATTTAAATATAAAATTTTTAATATAAATTCTGACCTTGAGCCCTTTGTGCTTTAGGTTAAAAAAAGGAATTTATTACTAAAATTAACTTTGCCCATTCTACTTTAAATTTTTGTGTCTAAATACCAACATTCTTTTGATTTCATGCTAATTCAAACATTCACTCTTTATTTCTATCCTCTCCAAATTTCTTTCAGATTTAATTTCAACATAAAAGATGGGATTATTGAATCTGTGTCTTACATACATGTGTAAGAGTGTATTTGTAGGAAGTAATGTACAAATGCACACATATATACAAGTGCATACACTCTTTACCCATTGAAGACTTCCTGGATTCACCAAATATTTCCAAATACTGTATTGATTCCTAACAACATCCGCCTGAAATAGAAATAAGAAAACAGAGATTTCAGGTTGATTACATTTTTTACAATTATATAACAAACTTTAAAGCTTTTGTGCAATTTCTTGAATTATACATAAGTGGATTTATGTGGTGTCTTTATTTTTGTATGATTATCTGAATTCAGAAAATTTTACATTTTAAATGTGTGTTTTCTTAGGTGTCATTGCAATTCAATGATTTGTGTAAAAGAAAAAATCCTCGGGGCACCTGGGTGACTCAGTGGTTGAGTGTCCGCCTTTGGCTCAGGTTGTGATCCCAGAGTTCTGGAATCAAGTCCCACAACAGGCTCTCCCCCAGCGCAGGGAGTCTGCTTCTCCTTCTGCCTATGTCTCTGCTTCTCTCTGTGTGTCTTCCATGAATAAATAAATAAAATATTTTTTTAATTTTTTATAATAAATTTATTTTTTATTGGTGTTCAATTTACCAACATACAGAATAACACCCAGTGCTCATCCCGTCAAGTGTCCCCCTCAGTGCCCGTCACCCACCCATTCACCCCCACCCCCCGCCCTCCTCCCCCTCCACCACCCCTAGTTCATTTCCCAGAGTTAGGAGTCTTTATGTTCTGTCTCCCTTTCTGATATTTCCCACACATTTCTTCTCCCTTCCCTTATATTCCCTTTCACTGGAGGGTATTATGCTGAGTGAAGTAAGTCAATTGGAGAAGGACAAACATTATATGTTCTCATTCATTTGGGGAATATAAATATAAATATAAAATATTTTTTAAAAAAAGAGAAAAAATCTGTCAAAACTAATCAATGAATCCAACAGGATATAAAGTCAATATACAAAAATTGGTTGCAACTTTATGCACTAATAAAAAACCATCAGAAAAAGAAATTAAGAATCCCATTTACAACTACACCAAGAAGAATAAAACACCTAAGAATAAATTTTAAAAAGGAGGCAAAACATCTGTACACTGAAAATTATAAGATACTGCTGAAAGAAATGAAAGATGACAGAAAGAAATAGAAATATATTCCATGTTGATTGGAAGAATTAATACTGTTAAATGATCATATTCCCCAAAAGCAATCTGTGGATTCAGTGTAATCCCTGTCAAAATTCCAAAAGCATATTTTACAGAAATAGAACAAATGCTCCTACAAATTTTATGGAATCACAAGACCCGAATAGCCAAAGCAATCATGTGCTGGAGGCAGCACACTCCCTGATTTCAAAGTGTATTACAAGCTATGGTAACCAAAACAGTATGATGTTAGCATAAAAAGCACACAGATGAAAGGAACGAAATAGAGTCCAGAAATAAACCCACAAATCAGTGGTTAATTAGTTTATGACAAAGAAGGCAAGAATATATAAAAGGAAGGATCAGTCTCTTCAATAAATGGTCATATGCCAAAAAAAAATCAATTGGACCACTATCTTACACCATAGGCAAAAATTAACTCAAAATGGATTAAAGATTTGAATATAAGACCCAAAGCCATAAAACTCTTAGAAGAAAACATATTGGTCTTGGCAATGAGTTTTAGGATTTAACACCAAAGGCAAGAGAACAAAAGCAAAACTAAACAAGGTCTACCTCAAAGTAGATGGTTTCTTCATCAACAAATTGAAATGGCAGGGAGTATTTGCAAATCATGTATCCAAGGGGTAAATATTCAAAATATAAAAAGAACTCTTACAACTCAATAGCAACAAACAATCTGATTAAACAATGGGCAGAGGATCTGAATAGACATTTTTCCAATGAAGACATACTGATGGCCAACAGGTCCATGAAAAGATGATCAACACCACTACTCATCAGGGAAATGCAAATCAGAAGCACAATGAGATATCACCTCATGCTTCTTGGAATGTTCAGTATCAAAACAACAAGAAACAGCAAGTGTTGATAAGGATGTGGAGGAAAAGGACCCTGAATACTGTTGGTGCAGTTGTAAATTGGGGCAGCCACTATGGAAAACAGTGTGGAGGTTCCTTGAAAAATTAAAAATAGAAATACTACATGATCTATCAATTCCACTTCTTAGCATTTATCTGAAGAAAACAAAGACAGAAATTCAAAAAGATATGCAGACCCCATTTCATTACAGCATAATTACAATAGCCAAGACATGGAAACAACCTTGATGTTCGTGAGTGGATGAATGGACAAAGAAAGGTGCTGCACTGAGTGATGTATGGATATGTTGAATGACTACATTGTACACCTGAAACTAATGTAACACCATATGTTAACTCTACTGGAATTTAAATTTTATATATATATATATATAAAATATATATATATATTAGAATATTATTTAGCCATTAAAGTGAATGAAATGCTGGCATTTGTGACAGCATGGATGGAACTTGGGGGCATTATGCTCAGTGAAATAAGTCAGACACAGGAAGATAAAAACCATATGATTTCACTTAAGTGTGGAATCTTAAAAAACAAAACCAAGTTTGTGGATACACAGTACAGACTGGTAATAGCCTGTGCTAGGGGGTGGGGAGTGGGTGAAATGGGCAAAAATGTCAAAAGGCACAAATTTCCAGTTATAAAATGAGTAAATCTTGAGGATATCATGTCCAGCATGGTGATGATAGTTAACAAAACTGTACTGTAGATTTGAAAGTAGCTAGGAGAGGGGATCTTGACAACTGTCATCATGAAAGAAAAGTTGTTTTTTTTTTTACAGATGATAACCGAACTTATTTTGATCACTTTGCAATATATAAAATATTGAATCATTCCATTGTACACCCGAAATCAATGCAATGTGATGTCAGTTATATTTTAACGACATCATCAACAACAGCAACAACAACAATAATGACAAGGGACAGTTCATCCATCACATTGGCTCAGGGTTGAGTCACAAGTATCATGGGCCTAGGTGAGCATCCCAGGCATTCTTAGCCTATAGGATCGCTATTCATAGGCTGAGGCTTAAGAGGACAACAATAAAATCTATCTCATCTGGAAGAGCAGTTAAGTAGGAAAAAGGAATGACAACAAACCCAATGTGAAAACTGATTTTGTATTTTCTTCTATGATGAAATTATATAAATGGCCTTATGCCAGGTGCAGTTTTACCCATCTGAGTTATACAAGTCATGGTTATTCTTTCAAGAAGTCTAGGGAAATTTTGGTGTGATATATGTCATTGAAAAAACATTTGAAAGGAAATCATTTTTAGGAAATTGAAGAGGTCCTGTAAAAGATATAGAAGTTTTCAAATCTTTCTGATCCAAAGTTGGGAAGAGCTGTGGGCACATATGTAAATGGCAAAGGAAAAATTGTATGTATATCACACAGAGCAGAGAGCTTAGTAAATGGAGTTTTCTGAAGTTGTATAGAGAGGTTGAATTCTAAGAAATGGAAATTTCAGGAAATATGTAGAAGCCAATTCTATTTCACAGTGATCAAAAAACATGACTTTGAGCCCTGCAATCAAGGGCACTTCTTCACCACCAAGACAATGTTCCTTTTATAACTGCCCTCCTGAAAAATCTCATCAGAGCCTCCTTTATATCTTTGTTCCTCAGACTGTAGATGAAGGGGTTCAGCATGGGCGTGATGACCATGTACATTACTGAGGCTACTGCACTTGCATGGGAGCTCTGGGTAACAGCAGAGCTAAGGTACACTCCCAGGACAGTGCAATAAAATAAGGAAACAACTAAGAGATGAGATACACAGGTGGAAAATGCTTTCAACTTGCCCTGAGCTGATGATATTCTATGTATGGAGGAAATAATCTTTGAATATGAGCAAAGGATCCCAGCAAGGGGACCGCCAGCCAACAGCACAGCTGAAACATATATTATTGTGTCATTAAGAAAGGTATCAGAACAGGCAAGTTGGATCATCTGATGGAGTTCACAGAAAAAGTGAGGGATTTCCACCTCTGAACAGAAGGAAAGCTGCAAAACCATTAAGCTCTGTAATAAGGAATTCAGAACACTGATGATCCAGGACACCAGAACCAGCAGTCCACAGACCCGGGGATTCATGATGACCATGTAGTGCAATGGGTGGCAGATGGCCACAAAACGATCATAGGCCATCACAGCCAAGAGAAAGTCATCCCAGCCTGCAAAGAGTAAGGAAAAGCAGATCTGGCTGATGCATCCTGTATATGATATAAATTTGCTCTGTGTCTGTATATTTACCAGCATCTTGGGGATGGTGGTTGAGGTGAAACAGATGTCTACAAAGGACAAGTTGGCCAGAAAGAAGTACATGGGAGTGTGGAGGTGAGAGTCAGAGCCAACAGCCAGGATAATGAGCACGTTTCCAAACACAGTGATGAGGTACATGAAGAGGAAAAGTCCAAATATGGGGAGCTGAAGTCCTGGTTTATTTGACAATCCTAAAAGAAGAAATCTTGAAATTTGTGTATCATTTCCTGGTCCCATGTGGTGGTTGTGATGATTAGGAATTAGAAAAGATGATTAAGTTTTACAGAAATGGTCATTAGTAACATGGTAAAAATGCTATAATTAAAATGACATGTGGGGGGAAAATGAGGCATACAAGCAAGTGAATGAGGTGTTATCTTTACTGGGAGTTCAGAAAGACCTAAAACAAGGTGATATTTGAAAAAGACCTCAGGGAAATCTGTAGGAGAGACACGAGTATATCTGGGGACATGTGGGCCCTAGAGGAGAAAGAGCCAGTGCAAAGACCGGAGCAAGACACTTGTTTTGGATGTCCAGGATTCAAAATAGAGCCAGTGTGATCGGGAGATGAGCAAGAGGGAGAGTGATTACAGGTGGTGTCAGGAATGTTGAGGAACAAGGTTGCCTTCTCACTGCAGCTGAGACTTCAAGACACAGGGAGTCCTTCATTCATAGTGTTCCTTGCACTTCAATAATTTGTTTCCAAGGGATCCTGTCAACAAAAATAGATCCCTTCCTTATTTCCAAGTGTTGGTTAAGATCCTGGAGTCTGTATTTTAAAGGTCCCATATTGGCACACTATAGACTCCTGGGGCTATGTGACTACCAGGCTCTTCTCAGCCCCAGCTACAATATTTAGGAAAGAAATGATACCAGTTAGGCTCTCAATATCGAATTATCATTATTATAACATGTATAGAAAAATCCCCAAATTCCAGTTGGTAAGACTTCCATGAACATGTAACTTGGTGCTCTAATTTAATGACCATTTTGTCTTGCATTTAGCTAAGTATAAAAAAATTCAAAAGGAAGAGAAAAGAAAGAGGATGGAGAAAGGTCTAATGAGCCCAAATGGTTCCTGATAGACAATGATGATTAAAAAGCTTCCCTGGTTCTGGCTGCATTCCAACCCTAGATATATCCCTTAGATGACCAGAATAGCTAATAATGTTGCAAAAACCAATTTCTCCAAAAGAGAAAAAGGTGATGTATTTATGGTATCAAGACAGCATAATGTATGAACATCCCCTAGAAATATGAATTAAAGGAATACATCCACAATTGACTGAACGAAATGCACAACATACAAAAATAGCAGGAATTTATCAAGATGAAATAGTGAAAGATTTTTCTAAATAATATTAAATACAAAATCTTGGAATCCATGGATGAGTTTTGAGTCCTGGATCTACAACACATGAGATGTTTGAATTTGGGAAGAAAAAAATTATTCTAAAATGTTAATATTCTCACCAGAGTAGTGGGGGTGGTGGTATCCATTCTCCTACAGTGGTCAATAGATTGACTCCATCTATGTAAAAAATTGAGCATAGTTCCTTCCTATTAGTATATGAATGGTCTTTCTCTCTGTTCAGTCGAGTTTGTATGTGTGTGTGTGTGTACATACATGTGTATTTGTGTGTTTGCAAGTGTACACATTCTTGGTCATAATGCAAAAGGTATATTTACTGTGGACAGTTAAAAAAATTGGAATCCACTATAGTAAAGGAAAAAATGGTTTTAATATAAGGCCAGTGCCTGCTAATGTGATGAAAATGTATGAATGAAGAGTCCATCGGAAGACCAGGTTGCAGAGGGAAAAGGCAGTCAGCGTGGGTGACATCAGCATCAGAGCCCATGCTGACTGATTCACAGCGTCTACCTCAAGCTCCTAATCTAATTGTTATTCCTGTCCTTACTCCCAGTTTATTTGGCTACACTGATTTTTATGTTTCCTGAGGGTGGATGAGGCTGACTTCTTCTGTTACTTTCCTGGGTGTCATTCCTTACTTTGTTATTTTGGGCTTTGGGATTTGATCTTTGTTTGACACAAAATCCAATGGGTGTGTGCCAGTCCTGGTTCTCTCTTCCTTGTCTGCCATGCAGAACACTTCTAAGATCATACTCTGCTAAGTCTTGCAGAGTCTTGTTCTGTGACAATATATCCCCTTTCTGTATATAATTTATCCTTGAAGACCCCGTGTAATATGAGCACTTATTTCCCTGTTCTCCATTATAACGTATGCTCCAAAGGAGTAGTAGCCTCACCTACTTTGTTCATGTCTTTGTGTTGACAATGGTACACATTTGTATAGAAGCAATAATTTTAAATGAGAGTTAATTAAATGGAGAGAATGGCAGGGGAAAAATTATGTTAAATATGGTGGATTTAAGTAATTTTCTTAAAACTAAACAATATCTGGGAAGCCAGGGTGGCTCAGCAGTTTAGCGCTGCCTTTGGCCCAGGGTGTGATCCTGGAGACCCGGATTGAGTCCTATATCAGGCTCCCTGCATGGAGCCTGCTTCTCCCTCTGCCTGTGTCTCTGTCTCTCTCTCTCTCTCTCTCTCTCTCTCGTCTCTCATAAATAAATAAAATCTTTAAAAATCTAAACAATATCTAATACTAACATCTTATAGAAAAGATATACAATAGCAACCCTCATATCAATATGGGTCACTAACTCAGGATGAAATGGCTAAAGGCTTTGAAACAAAAGACTAGGAAAACATTATTTTTAATACACAGTGGGAAGCAGTAGCTAATGCCAGATTTCAGGTTGTACTACAAAGCTGTGTTCATCAAGGCAGTGTGGTACTGGCACAAAAACAGACATATAGATCAATGGAACAGAACAGAGAACCCAGAAGTGGACCCTGAACTTTATGCACAACTAATTATGCGATAAAGGAGGAAAGACGATCCACTAGAAGAAAGACAGTCTCTTCAATAAATGGTGCTGGGAAAATTGGACATCCACATGCAGAAGAATGAAACTGGACCACTCTTGCACCATACACAAAGATAAACTCAAAATAGATGAAAGATCTAAATGTGAGACAAGATTCCATCAAAATCCCAGAGGAGAACTCAGGCAACACCCTTTTTGAACTTGGCCACAGTAACCGGAGAAGGACAAACGGTGTATGTTCTCATTCATTTGGGGAATATGAATAATAGCGAAAGGGAATATAAGGGAAGGGAGAAGAAATGTGTGAGAAATATCAGAAAGGGAGACAGAACATAAAGACTTCTAACTCTGGGAAATGAACTAGGGGTGGTGGAGGGGGAGGAGGGTGGGGGGTGGGGGTGAATGGGTGACGGGCACTGGGGGGTACACTTGACGGGATGAGCACTGGGTGTTATTCTGTATGTTGGTAAATTGAACACCAATAAAAATTAATTTATAAAAAAAAAAATACACAGTGGGAAGCAGTAGCTAACGTTATAATTTTATCATATGTAACCACAAATAGAATCAATCATGCATATGAAAGGATGCAAAGGATCTTTAGTTGAATACAAAAGAACATGTTTCACATGATGACAGGAGATACTGTTATTTTAAATTTTAAAAAACAGACCTAATTCCAAAATATAAAATGTTAGAAATGAGGACAATTAGATGTGTAGTAAGGTGGCAATATGTGTAAAAAGCAATTCTTACTACTAAGGATGCAGAAAAATTTCAGCGTTTTAAGGCAAAGAGGGAAACAGGAATGTGATCAACTGATAGATCTGATCACACAAAATACATAGGCTATCACTATTCCATCAATACATCTATACACAATACAAGAGCTTAATGGAAAACAACAAACCTGGTGAAAATATTGCCATTCTTTTTTTGAAAGAATGGGATCAAAACACATTAAAAACACATAGATCCCAGTACATGGCAGCAAGTTACTTTCAAAAACAATTTGCATATAGGAAGTAAATGACTAACAAAGTAAAAAATATATTCATTCTCGTTAGTAATAAAATCATTGCAAAGTAATGCTCCTTGGCATATCCTTACATGCATATTAAGTACATTTTCCCCCTGGTGAATACTAATGGGAGAGATGATACTGTGAAATGTATGTCTCAAAAACTAGTGTCACAAGGTAATATTTCCCTCCATGGGCCTGGATCCTTCTAAAAAATACAGAACAAAGTAAATGCACCTCAGCTGAAAAATCTTGAAAAATGCTCACTCCACTTCTTTTTTTTTTTTTTTACATTTTAAAATTTAGATTCAATTCAATATAGTATAACACCTGGTGCTCATCTCACTCCACTTCTCACACCTCCAAGCCTAATACTCTGTTTTCCTACTGTCCTTAGCTCCAAAACTCCCTGAACTTGTTCTCATTTCACTGGAACCACTTTATGCCCTCATTCCTGCCTTTGGGTCATCCAGCTGGACTTCCATTCCTACAACATATTCAACAATGATGCCTGTATTACTGAGTCAAATTAATGTTTATTTTAAAAATATATTAAATAAATTATATTTAACCTTAGTAGTCAACCCTACAAGCAAACATGAAGTTCTGGACTCTGGGATAGGCTGATTAGGCTCTCAGGTGACCTCAGGTAAAGGTTCTCGGGTTCCATTCTCTCTCTGATCCTTTCCTGAAATTCCTGTTGAGCTCTCAGACTCACCTGGATGGGGCCTATAAAATCAAAGTCTCCATGTGAAGGTCCCAAGTCTTCCCTCAATGGTTAATGAGATCAAAGTTCTGTTACCAGACAGGACAGCTGGAAATAGTAAAGCATGGGTCCCCCAGCCAGACCTAGGAACTCAAAAGCAACATTCATGTCCTGTCCTGCACAAGGATGTACCTGGGAAGGGACTGCAACAAAGGAGGTATTTATAGCTACATGTGTCTCCTCATTAGGAACTGTTTCCATTGTTACTCCCACCTCTGAGCATATTATTTCCCCATAGGCCACTCATCTGGACAAAAAGGACATTTTTCCTGTGGATTCTTTATTCCTAGGAAAATATTAGAAACTTCTAATTTTAATTACTTCTTCCCCATGATCTTGCCTGCCTTCCAGAGCTCTAACCTCCTTGCATTTTTCCCAATTTTGAGTTCATGTTTTCTCCAAATCTAAGACTGAGGAACCTACTTAACCAAGTCTCTTGGA